TACCAGCCAGGCACAGACAGGTTCCAACGATCGCCGAGAGAAACAGAAGTTTGGCACCGCTCCTTGTTTTCTGGATAAGGGCTTAAGAGAATACCTTAACGAAGCTTTCAGCTTCACCAGGAAGCCAGCCCTTCGACCCCGGCGACGGCACTTTTGCCGGAGTGGTGGATCTGGAACACGGCACAGGTGAGCCGGGATCTCCGAATTTAGCGGGGGCAAAGTTTTATATCATTGTCATTGTGTTACTTAAATGTGTAAGGCTTAGTTCAAACAGCATGATCAAAGACATTCCTTTGTTTCTGTTGACCTCTCCAGCCTGTTGGACGGTGGTGGAGGCTGTAGTGTTTTATTATAGGGACATCTATGTGAGGGTTCTGTTTAATAAGCTTCCTGCCTTTATGACCCTTTTGTGGACAGGAGGTCACACAAAGCACCCCCAAACACACACACACACACACACATTCTCGCACATGCATGCACACACATACACACATAGTGCCTTATGTTTTAGAACCATAGGGGGGTTTTACAGTGGGAGGTGCTTGTGCGTACTGTAACTGTGTTCAATAAAAGGCGGCAAGCGAAGGCCTGAGTCTGGGTCATTTTGCGGTTGGATTCAGAGTGCTTTTCTGAGACACCGACCAGGGCCTCCCTTGCACAATTAAAATCAATTGATCGCTGATCGTCTTGCTTCCTTGTCGTTAACGGGAATAAGTTTCTAAACCAGCGGGGCCTGTGGAAGCGCAGACCCAACAACGCAGGAGGAAGATAGCTGTTATAATCTATGTTTTTGTCTCACTATATAATGTTGTGCAGCCCGCTTGAGGGTCATCCTTTTTGTGAAACATGCTACTGGTTCACATAGAGATCCACAGCGCTGTGTAAACTTGTAATTTCAACTGCCAAAGCAAATTAAATCTTTTTAAAAAGACAAACCTTTCTCCTGAGATTCCTTCCAAAAAAGTCTGAGCACAAGACTAGCATGTGCTAGCAGAATAAGCACACAGCTCTGCTTGAGGGAAGGAAAATAGTTCTACACAGAAGTAACACCCATGTTGGAAAAAGGCTTGTTGGTGTTCAAACAGCTCTGCAAAACCTCCAACTGCACAAAAATAACATTTATGAGAAATCTCATTCAAGGCAGAGTGCTACATTGGGCAGATGCAGCAGCTCACCATCTGTTTAATTTAAGGGAAGCGAAGATTGGCTGACTATTCGACTGTTGGACACTAGCAGAGATGTGGCACAAAAGCACTCCTGCACTCCTGTTAACAAATTCTTTTAAAAACAAAAGTTTATATATGGTAAATAGAAATGTGGGCAAATATGCAAAATTTGACACTTAGATCTCCCAAAAAGCCCAGGCTTAGTTGACTTTGTGTGAATCTCACTTGGAAGCATACATTGTTTGTTTTTAAGAGATAAATTTTTCAGATATTTCATGGCTATACGCTGGATACACAGATGGAGTCAAGATACAGTATATCTGAAAAACAAAGAATCTAGAGTTGAGAGTCTAGATTATAGTATGAGTGTGGTAAGATGGGAGAGGCATGAAAGAGCCTTATTCAGGTGAGGCAGACAATCTGGTGGCAACTGGGTGCTGGAGCTGGTCCTTAAAATGGCACAACCTGTCCGACCACTACTGGACTCAGAGTATGAAAGCAAAAACAAACCAGTGCAGTCTGTGACAGATTTGTTTGAGTTTTCTACAGGCAAGCCCAGGGTTGGGATGTAGGCTAGCCCATGTGGGGCACAAAGTGAGGGCCCCCAGTGTGGTTTTCTGCCCAGTGTGGGCCCACATGTTTACTGACATGTTATTTATAATAAGGAAACAGCATACAGGAAAATGTGGTTATTGTGGAAAAGATGAAAACACAGAATATCTTTTATCATGCTCTCAGAAATACGAAGCTGTAGTTTGAAGTGAATGATTCAAACCTTCAGTAAAATAGGCCTGTGAAGGTTCTCAGTCATCCAGGTCATCGTAGTCAAAGGAGCTTGGAAAGAAAAGCGTCTGGACTTCTTTAAGTTACTTGAAGACGTTTCACCTTCATCCGAGAAGCTTCTTCAGTTCTAAGGTCAAATGGTGGCAAAAAGAAGGAACACACACATGTAAAGGAAGCACTCAAAACGTGCGGCTATCCTAAATGGGCGTTCTTAAAGTCA